CACTATGGGATACATCGCATCATAATGAGAACTTCATCGCACCACAATGAGATGCATTGCGTGAATGTGAGATCCATAAGTAATTATGTCTTTTTTCTAAATCTTTTTCATCAAAAAATTTCTAAGTTCACTTTCTTCACTCTTTTGCAATTTTGTTCAATTCTTCCACAATTTATATTAGCCTTTTCCCATTATTCTTTTGATTCCATCGAAATTTTATAGTGAAAGTCACGTAATTCAGACTATCAATAGTATGATTATGGATAAGTTAATCTCTTATATCCACTTGACTTTCTTAAAAAGGAGAATATTGGTTGACGGAGTTGTAGTTGTTAGTGATGTGGTTGATTTTTCAAAGAACTTTAGGAAGGCTTATCTCATGTTTAAATTTGACTTTGAGAAAGTGTAAGATTTGGTTAGATAAATATTTTTGGAACATATTTTTATTAGATTTGGCTTCAATGATAAATGGAGGTCCTGGATTAGAGCTTGTGTGTTCTTTGGTAACCTACATGCATTATTCAATGGCTCTCTAACTCAAGAGATTAATATCCAAATAGGGTTGACAAATGGAGACCCTCTATCTCATTTCCTTCTTCTCCTTGTGAACGAGGGTCTTAGTGGTTTTGTTAGGAGGGAAACAAAGTCATCCATTCTCTCTGGGTTAAATTTGGTACCATAAATTTAGAAATCTCTCATCCCCAATATGTTGATGATACCTTATTATTAGGAGATCCATAAGTGGATAACTTATGGGTCATTAAAGTTATCTTAAGGAGTTTTGAGCAAGTTTCAACTTTTTGGGTTAATTTTTATAAAAGTAGTTTGGTTGAGATTAATGTTGACCCCACTTTCTTAGAGGTAGCTAAGAGTTTTCTTCGTTACAAGATTGAGTCATTCCATTTTAAATATCTAAGGTTTCCAGTAGAATCCAATCCTCGGTATGAAATCTACTTGGGAACCTTTAGTTAATCAGGTGTTGAAAAGATTTCTTCATAAGAGTCATAGGTATGTCAGCCTAGGGCTATAATTACTCTTTGTAAGTCTGCTCTAAATTCTCTTCCTATTTTCTTATGTTCTTTCTTAAAGATTAACAAGAGATTACTTTTGGGTGGTGTGCAAGGTGAAGCCAATATTTTCTGGGTGAAATGGTCCGATGTATGAAAATCTAAGAAGAATGGGGGGTTTGGGCGTGAGAGATATCCAACAGGTTATTGTAGCTTTCTTAACCAAATAGAGATTAAGGATCTTTGGTAAATGCTTCTGGTCTATGGTTTGATATTCTTGTTTTTGTGGTCTTTGGTTTGATATTCTTTTTTCTGTATGTGATGTTTCCTTGATCACCTCCTTGTGTGGGAGTAAGGTTTTGAATCTTTGCTTGATTTCTTCATGATAGAGAGGAATATTATTGATTGGGTCCAAAAAAGATTATCCTTATAATTGGTTTGGGGGTGAGCTAGTTAAGAGGGTCAGTTATGGTCTCCACACCTTTTTTTTTGGAGGATCCTTGGATTGGGTATATATCTCTAAAGGTTAGGTTTCATAGACTCTTTACTATCTCCCAAGCTCCATATGGTAAAGTGAGTGAGTTAGGAAAATTGAAAGATCGAAAGATGATTTGGGATCTTAGGTGGAGGAGATCCTTCTTCTTTCATGAAGAACCATTTACGTGTTCTCAATCAGTTCTAGTTTAGTGAGGAGGGAGATAGGTTATTTTGAAAGCATAATAAGAAAGGTATATTTTTCCAAGGCTTTTTCTTTTTTCAGTCCAAGTAGAGCTTATACCCTTATATGATTCCAACCTAGTGATGGATATCAAATCTCTTCGTGGTATTTGGGATAGTTTGGATCCTTCTATGGTGGTCGTCGTTTATTAACAACTTTTGTTGTATAGTTCCCCTTCAGAGAGAATCTGTTCTAGCATAGGTTTATTATTAGTCTGAACTGTTGTTCTTATGTGTTGTGTGGGGATCTTCTTGAGTTTGCCTCTAATTATTTTAATACTTGTAGCTTATCCTTATTGTGTGGTATGTTATCTTTAAGTTGTTAGATTTACAAGTAGTGCTTCTTTGGGAGCTTAAGATTGTTTGAGTTTTTAACATCTTTAGGATCTAAGGTTAAGAGTATGCTGGTTTTGCTACGATATGACATGATGTGGGGTAGACCATTTGGTATGTGCATAATGATAAGTTGTTTTCTGGTTCGTCAACAAATGTGAAAAAATGGAAGATAATAGTATTTTTTTTGCTTGGAATTAGTTTCTAAGAAAGTCCTAATTGAAATATAGATCTTTCTCATATTGGCTTTAGAACCATATCACGTGCATAGATCTATAGTGGATCAAGAGTTTGGACATGCTTCAAAGGTATTCAAGGGTTTAGTTTTTGCTAGCGATTTACCTGTTCTTTTGATGGTGGGTCTGGTGGTTTGAGTTCTAGATGGATTTCCTACTAAGAGGTTATTCGGTGATTGAGTTCTCTTTCTAAAGCTTTCTCTTTAGGTGGATGCCCCAATGGATATGGTTTTATTGTTGTTGTATTTTTCTCCTTTTGGTTTTTTGACTAGTTTTGTTCCTCTTTCATGGCACCGATTGTATTTTTTATCGTTATTCTCCTTGTTATATGATTTATTCCAAACACTTGTATATTCATACATATTATTTTTCCTTTCAAAAAATAGTTTGTGAAATTGAATAGAGTGACTCTGCAAACCTCATTTAAACCCATCAACAACAAATACAACATCAACAACAAAAAACCACCAACAAAAAACCTTCATCTCCTTTCATATAAAATTTAACTCAAATCCAACATCAACAAAAATATTTTATACTCAATCCATTTCCAACCACAGAAAATACAACTTTGTCAATTTTGTAGTCCCCTTTACCACCCGAATGAACTAGCCTTTGTGTCCTAGGTATGAAGAATATGTTTTTCATCTATCTATCTTAGCTTAATTTCGATGAAGAAAAGATTTCATCTTAATAGAAAAATCAAAGAAAAAAAAGATTGAAATCAAATATCAAGATTGCATAAACTTTAGAATTCAAAAGTTTGATTCATGAAGTTTAGGGTAGCAATAGTAATTAATTTGTGTATATATTTTAGATTGTCACAAACTTTCATATAAATATTTTGATACCTCTAAGAACTATCATACACCTAATAATGAAGGAAAAAAACGTTATCCTCATCAGTGTTGTCACCTTTCATCTTAGATTGGTAGAAAATGAAGGATTTTTCATCAATGTGTGGTCAAGAACGTAACAACATATACAAAAGGGTTGGTGAACTTTGTATCACGATGAAGACTTGTAAGAGCCTACACATCAAAAATTGTCTAGCCGGACATTTTGTTTATGGAATTTTTGAGTGGTACAGCTCTAAAAAATTGAAGTTGTTCCATGATATGGAATTCAATCTTCACTGGATGTCGAAATATCGCAACAAAGTCAATTTTTTGGTTGTATGCACTATGTCGATCCAGGTGAGATATTCTAGAAGAATCGAGAGTAAATTTCACTATACAATATTTCATAGTATAGTACGAGGTTTTGAAAATAAGGCGGTACTCCTAACCCTTTTTCGATAAGAAATTTAAAATGAAAGTCTTGATATACGATTATCAAGAACAATACATTTTCAAGTTGCTATCCCTAATCATAAGTGATAGCTAACAAAAATATACCTATTAAACATTATCAGTTGAAATTCCTTTGTAACAAGTAATTGTATTTCAATTTACAAGGGATAAAATGTAAAAAGCATTAAAAATAGATAACAATAAATAATATTGGAATAAATTACTTAATTGATACAAGATTCAATTCAGGATTACAAAATTCATCAAAGACCATGACTCATCTCTACACAAAGGAGTTTAAGTACTCATAACTTGAACAAAACATATTTAAAAAGTTATGAACTTCACACAATAATCAAAGATGAAGAAGCTTCAACACAAATGCGTATGGAGGCATCGGACTGCTAGGAAGGATACCCCATACACGTATATGAGTTTTCATACGCGTATGGGAAGAGGCTTGCTTTGTCTTGTTGAGCTTATGGACGTGTCTAGATGCATCTGGATGTTCCTTCAATTTTGACTTTCAAACACGAATTCAATCAAAAATATTTTCAAAATCACCATGGGTAAGTTATGGATTGGACATATACCAAAACATTTCCCTCTCACAATTTAAATATTTATTTAGAATTTTTATATGGAAACAATTCTATATCAACATTTTTAAAAAAAACTATAAAAATAGAGAAAAATTTTAATTTATTTAAATTTTAATTTCTTTTTTAATTTGATTAATGGGATAGTTATGATTACAAATGAGAGAGAAAATATTATATTTATTTTTTAATTAATTAAAATTTTTTGATTGATTGCGTGTAAAACTACTTTTATTATCTAAGAATTTTCCGTGTTTTAAATTTAATTTACTTTTCTTATACAATAAAAAAAATACTCACAAACATATACATACTTAATTTGTACAGTATGTAGTTTAAAAAGAGGGAAAAAAACACCAGTCTCTAAATATATATCCCCAATGTCATTCATCATTTCTTTTAATTTGCTGCCTTCGTCTCTGTAGTAATTTATAACAAGGAGGAAAAAAAAATCCATAAATTGAAGATATTTATTGATATTATTCAAAGAAAATAAATATCTAGTTTGGTAAGAGTTAGAACAAGAAAATACCAGTCTTCAAGAGGGCTCCAGATTTCCAGCATATGATGCAGTTAGGCCTCAACGTGCAGTATCATTCTATAATGAAGAATATAATAAAAAATATCAGTAAAATATTCTTTATTTAGGTAAAGTATCATATTCTACCGCATCTCTCCACAAGCATGCAATTCAGTTTATTCCATTTACTGGCAAATTGATGACATAGCATAATGCTAAAAAAAAATCTATAAATGGATGTATCTTGCAGTTCTATTATTAACCTGAAGCTAGCAAACAAAAGAGTAGTGTGTAAAATGGCATCACTCAAAGCTGAGAAACCTAGTGATAAATCTGGCATCTCTCAGCCATCAGGGCAGGTTAAGAAAGAGCCTGCTGCAAAAACTAGTGGAACCACTCCCAGAACTAGAGCCTCCAAAGCAGCAGCAGCACCAAAGAAAACTGAGCAGAAACCTCAGCCTAAGAAGAAGGTACATACATATATATATATATATATATATATATATATATATATATATATATATATATATATATATATATATATATATATATATATATATATATATATATATATATATATATATATATATATATATATATATATATATATATATATATATATATATAATATGAACAAATTCTTATATATTAGAGTACTATGTTTAGTTTGTGCATTGATTAAATAATCTATTGGTAACTTTTTCAGGCTAGCAGCAGTAAGCAGAAGATATCAAGTGAAGTTTAGATGACTTGAAAAAATAGTTGTCGGACGTATATTTATTTGAAGAATCCATAAGGATACTGTTATGGTGCATGTTTCGTGAATTTTATTAGTAGTACTATAGTCTGTTTGTACCAGTTGCTTCTTTTACCCCATCTGTGTACCATGTAACTCCTTGTCAGCTTGGCCTTATAAATAAAATATCGTTATGATGATTTATGCAGCTTAAATCCTTTTCAAGGAGGCAGTGATAGAATTGACTATGTAATTGGAAGCCTGAATCTTATAACAATATGTACATTCTCCATGATATGAGTTACATACTGTGGTAGGAAGTTACATTAGGAGGATTAATATATAGTGTATGAATAAGCACTTTTGTGAGAGACACATCATTTATCCACCTAAAACTTTGAGGTGATAGGTGAATGGATTCTCCCACTTATATATGTTTAAGTCTCCATATTTCTATCCAATGTAGGACTATTTCCCCACTTACTCACATTTGCTATATTATTCCAACACTCCCCTTCAAGTGTGAGTCCACAATGCTCCATTTCTATAACTTGGCTCCGATACCATGGCGTTTATGTTCAGTAGACTTCGGAAGGTAATATGATTCTGATATGTTTGTATGTTGATGACATATTGCTAATAGGAAATTCTGAACAAGAGATAGCTAAGTTCAAGAAGGTTCTGATGAATGAGTTTGAGATGACAGATCTTGGAAAAATGAATTACTTTGTAGGTATGAAGTTTATGTACTCTGAGAAAGGAATCATTTTGAATGACGACTACAAAAATAAGGAGTAATGAATAGTTACATTGACCTACTACTAGACTATTTATACACAAAATTAGGGTATAATAAAATACTAAAATATCCTTTAACAAACATAGTCAATAAGACATTCCTAAAATATAAATTATTTCCAACATTGTTGGTGCACAAGGAGAGATGAAAGACAAAAGAAATATATTGAATGACGGCTATAAAAATAAAGAGCAATGAATAATTATATTGACCTACTACTCGGCTATTTATACACAAAATTATGGTATAATAAAATACTAAAATACCCTAAAAAACTTAGTCAATAAGACATTCCTAAAATATAAATTATTTCTAACACCATCCCTTAATTTATATTTACACAAAACTGACAACACCAATTTCATCCCTCTAACGAAGAAATTGATCAGTCTTGATAGCCTTTGTTAGAACATCTGTCAACTGCTTCTGGGTGCTACAGTGCACAACTTCTAATATTCCACTCTGAACCTGATTCCTCAGAAAGTGATACTTGGTCTCGATATGCTTGCTTCTCCCATGCAGAACTGGGTTCTTGGCAAGATTGATTACAAAATTATTATCAATCATCAATTTCAGAGGCTTGTTCACCTCAATCTTCAGATCTTGCAACAAGTTCAGAAAACACACAGCTTGACATGCAGTTAGAGTGCCTACAATATATTCAGCTTCACAGGTTGATAGTGCAACAACAGCTTTCTTCTTGAAACACCAAGAAATAGGACCTCCTAGAGATTTGAATAAGTATCCAGAAGTACTTCTTATGTCAACTCTGTCTTTACACCAATCAGAGTCTGAATAATTCAGAAGTTCTGATTCGGTCTTTCTTCCAAAAGGAAATAACACTCCATACTTCAGAGTTTCCTTCACATACCTCAGAATCCTGACAACAGCTTGGTAATGAGACCATTTTGGTTTACTCATAAATCTGCTAACCATTTCAACTGTAAAGCAAATATCAGGTCTGGTATTACACAAATACCTCAGAGAACCAACCAATTGTTTAAAGGTTGTAGCATCCACATCTTCTCCATCAGAATCAAAGTCCAACTATTGATTCGTATTAGTAAGTGTGATAGAAGATTTGCAATTCTCCAACTTAAATGTCTTCAAAATCTCAAGTTCATACTCAAATGACAATTAAGTAAAGCTTAAAGAAAAGTAAAGCTCAAGTGAGCAAAAATAAAAATGACAATTAAGTAAATACTCAAATGAACAAAGATGAAAATGGCATGAAATGTAAATGCTAAAAGTAAATAGTCCATAAAAATAAAGAGGAACATAATAAAAGTAAAGGATAAAGTCAATTATTAGTGATTAGTGGTTAGTTGGATGATCATATTGAAACTTGCATTTGGAACTTATTAGAGGATTAGTAGAACCAAAGCCTCCACACAACAAATTGCATTTGCTTTTTGTCAAGTATATCATCCCTTTGGAATCCTCATGAGTACCATTTAATGATCAACGATGTTTAAGTGATCCGCGTTGGCCAAAGGTGTTGTAGATCCATTAGAGGATTGGTAGAACCAAAGCCTCCACACAATGAATCTCAAGGTTATTGGATCAAAGAGATCAAATTAACATACTTGGGCTTGCAAACATAAGTTTGGGCCACGAATGGTCATTTATTCGAATCGGGACAAAATTTAGCGCTATGTTAAGCAATCGTAAGTGGACTTATATAGAAGTCGAACCTATTTTGAGGTCGGTCAATAGCAATCTATGCACCATTTATTTTGATACATGATATAAAGATCATGCTCCAATAACACTTAGTGCAATAAGAAAATGGTTAAGATGAAGAGGAGTGAGAGAGAATACACAAACCACTTTTGAATTAAATTTAATCAAACTATTATTAAAATCATTCATCCATTTTTTGTGGAGTTAGACTCAATACCATGGATCCAATGATGTTAATAAATTTCATGATCAAAAACTTAACCCAAGATCAGCCAGAAAATAGTCACAAAATAATATTACATTTAATATATACAAAAAAAGGCTTTAAAAATGTTTTAAAATAGAAATAAAAGAGAAAAATATCAACTATGTTCAAATTGATCAAGAAATAAAAAGTAAGTCCATAGAAAAATCAGAGAAGGACTCAAATGATGTTATAAATTTTTTGGTAATTTTAAAGTCAGAAACTGTTTTTAAAATTAAAAGAAATGAGTAAAATAAACTAAAAATGATGAAAAATACCAAAGTCCGAAATAAAAAATAAGTGAAGCCACCAATATTTATCACAATATCATTGGATCATTCCATAATTTTTTCAAAATTTAAAAATGCATAAAAGAATTTTTAAACATTTAGAACAATTCAAATAAAATGAAAATTTATAAAAAATACCAAAATACAAAATTAAATTGTGAAAAAATAAAAAACAGAAAGAGAATAATAAAAAATATTTTTCATAATTTTTTCATAATTTTTGGACTAAAAATAGATTTTCTATGATTTTTTTGAATTTTAAAACAATTAAATATAAAAATCAGAAAAGAAAATAAAAGTAAAAAAATATGTGGACCATTGGATGAGAGTCAAAACGCGTTAGTTATCAAATCAAAGGGATCTGGCGCGCTGTGTATATCATGGTCATTAGTGAATAATGCTTAAGATCAATAATTAAATCAGATTTCAAAATATACAAGTGGCGTGCCATCATTGGTTGGAAGATGACACGTTGGTCATCTTCAACCTCCAGCCATTGTGAATTGCAGGTCTCTCAAACTGTAAAATCAGAAGCTCACACCTATTCCATTCGTTTCGTCTCTTCAAGACGAAGACAACCACACCCTCGCGACAAATTTATACAAACTGTAGCTCAAGCAATTTGGAAGGAAAGTTTTGAAAAGGGATTTAAAATTTCATGGTCAAAACGTGTTTCCAGTAAAAAGCAAGTGTTGCAACTAGAACCAGGGAAATGAGAGCATCACAAAGATATCAAAGTTTTGAAGAATTGATGAAGGAATCTACCTATTGAAGTTGAGTTGCAGAGCTCTGAAACTGGACTTTTATGGAGAAATATAGGGCACGATTCTTGAATGTAATTATATGTTTAGCTACAAGGAAGATCAAGGAAGATGAATTGATGAAAAAATTGGATTGAAAAAGGCTTGAGAATGGATTTTGAAGTTACTGAATTTTAAGTTATGGAGCAAGTTTGGCAGAGTGATTCTGGCTATCCAAGCTTGAGGAAATGAATGGGGGAATGACCCTCTATTTATAGGGAATCAAATAGAATGTCTAAGCGTGTGAAATGATGAAGTTTGGAGGGAAATCGTGTGAAGTTGCAAACACGAAAAGCGTGACTTCCAATTTGATTAAATCTCATCCAAAACATGCGTTTTTCTATGCTAATCACTTATGGAAGTTCACTAAACATGTTTAGAAGAAAAAACGCACAGAAACAAAGTGTTTAGAAGCCAAATCAAAGATTTCAAACTTTTGACTTGGTGAAAAATTTAGTTTCAAATTTCCATCTTCTGACCAATGGCATTCTCAGCTCAAGGGGTCTTAGGGCATAATTCTTGATGCTTTAGAAAGATGAGGTTACAAACATTGCAATGTGAAAAGAATGGAGAAAAATGGATGCTTGAGCTGAAAGTTATAACGAGTCAAAGTTGAAAAAAATGTTGACTTTCCATACTTAGAAATATTTCAAATTTTTCTTCAAAAGTGACCTATAATGTTTTGCATCCAAACATGGCCTTCCTCTTTGAATTTTCTCTTGACCAAAAAATATGGCATGAAATAGACCTCTTGAATGACATTTTGAAACTTGAACCATTCAAAATATCCAAAAATTGAGAGAGCTACGACTTGTTGAAATTGGCAAAAAATCATGAAATGACCTATAATATTTTGTATCCTTAAGGCAACTTCCATCCATTTTATCACTTTGAACATAAAAGAAGGCATAAAGTTCACACCCTTAAGATAATTGTGGAGAAACAATGCGATCAAGGTGATAAAAAATGACCAAGTTATGATAATTTGAAGTCACACATGGAAAATTGGGGATGCATCTGGAGGACTTGTAATCTTTCTTCTTCATCAAGTTTCTTCCACATGAAAACTCCTTGTAACTTTTGAAGTGATTTGTTGATAACCCTTTAAAGAGAAGTATGTCTTTTGAATCACTCAAAACTACCAAAAGATGAGCAAGATATACTCCTTTGAATTTCAAAACCCTAGCTCCTAGATCAAGAAACATGCCTTGAGGAACTTTGACAATTTTGAACAAACTTCTTGTACCAACACAAATGCTTTGTAAATATAAGTTATTGAGGATGATAATGAGAACTCATAGAAATCACAACCACTTCCATATCTTGAGAATTGAGAGAAATATGCATTTGTGACCAATGGGAACAAAGCCTTGTCCAAGCAAGCCAACTTCTCCAATCAATCCCTTGTGTTTTTGAACCAAATTTTATAACCTTGAAATGTGGTGAACCAAAATAACCTTGCCATGCCATTTCCTCCAAAACAACTTCAATGGTGAGGCTTGAACTTCTCAAGCTTTATTAACTAGGGCATGGAAATAAACTCATGAACCCATGGAGCAACTTGCAGAATCTTATTGCCTTTACCTACATGGATAACAAGCAAGACAAACCAACATTGAATTTTATTAATTAAAATAAGAAATCAAGACAAAAATATTCATGATCACAAAAGAACACAAGTCAAGGTGCTTGGTGATTCCTCAAAGAGCGAAGCTAAATATAGGGAGGGGAACCAGGAATCTTAATGTGATCTTGTTGTGATGGAATCAGCATGGTATGATGA